TGTCATTTTTTGTCCTAAGGTAAACGGAAATGCAGTATGCAAAATCGTATGTATAATATCAGCGTGGCCATGCTTAAAGAAAAAAGTCAGGAAAATATTGAAGAAAAAGATATCAAAATGTTAATAATAGTTGCTTTTTCTCTGGACAGCGAGGATTATAGTGATTATTTCCCCTTTTGCCTCTTTATGCCTTTGTGTACTATCCAGATATTCTAAGATGAGGATGCATTCGTTAATATTTATTGAATGCTCACATTGTACCAGTCATCGTTGGGAGGACCTGGACACACAAAGTTCTTGAGGCTCAGCCCTTGCCTGAATTTGCTTACAGTCTAGTGAGGGTTTTGTTTTGTTTTGTTTTGTTTTTTAAATTTATTTATTTATGAGTGAGAGAGAGCAGGGAAAGGAGCAGAGGAAGAGGGCGAAGTAGACTCTGTTCAGCACAGAGCCCGATGCAGGGCTCCATCTTAGGACCCTAATATGACCTGAGCTGAAACCAAGAGTTGGCTGCTTAACCAACTGAGCCACCTCAGTTCAAAAATTAGATAATAAGAAAGCTGTTGTTTAACTAGAGTGAGTGAGGAGTAACGTCACATCTATTCCTCATTTGACCTCTTTCCCTCAGACCACCTTTCCAAGCCCACAGGGATCACGCCTGCTTTATCTTCCAAATGTGTCTAAAACCCTATGCAAGGTAAACCAATAAAGCTTTCAGAAAGAGTAAATAAATAAAATATCTTCAAGGCTTTGAAGTAAGTAAAGAGTTCTTAAATAGGACACAAACATGCTAACTGCAGATGGAAAAAAAAATGGTGAATTCTATTAAAGTTAAAACTCTGTTCACAAAATCACGTGATTGAGAGAGTAAAACTGCAGGCCATGGAGAAGAAAGTCTATAATTCATATGCAAGACTCCTATCCAGACTATGTAAAGAACTCCTACATAGCAATAAGAAAAAGGCAGACAACCCTGAGAACAATGAGCACAGATTTGAACAGGAGATCACTAAAGGATATCCAAATAAACACGGCAGGTTTTCCAAACGTGAGTCACCGTGCAATGCAGAGTAAAACCACAGTGTGATATCACTACACCCCCAAATTAAGGAGGTGGTTAGGTAGTAGCAAACATGGACAAAGATGTGGAGCAACTGAACTTCTGTTCACTGCCGGGGGGGGGGGACGGGGGGGAGTGCACGTTGGCACAATCACTTTAGAAAACATCTGGCAGGATCTGGGAAGGCCGAGTGGAAGGGAACCCCATGCTGGGGAGCCCCAGTGCTAAGTATATACCCGAGAGAAACACATGATATGTTCTTCACATTACGTTTGTCATCACCAGATACTACAAGCAATCCAAATGTCCATCCACAGTAGGAACTGTGCAAATGACAGGATGATAGGAAATGTCCTACTAACTACAACTACGTACAACAGCACCTGTAAATATCGCAAGCTTAGTATTGAGTGAAAGAAGCCGAACACTAAGAGTCCACACCACATCATTCTGTGTACGTGACGTTCGAGAACAACCGAACCAGTCTGTGGGGTTAGAATTCAGGAGTATTGATTCCCTTTGGCAGGGAGGGCCAAGGTAGCTTCTGGGGTTCTGGTAATATTCTGTTTCTTCATCTAGCTGGTGGTTATACTGGTATGTTGGTAGGAAAATTCATCAAGGCATCCTTCTCTGTATGAAAACTAAAAATTACATGATATATATTTATAAATATAAGTATAAATAAAATATAAATATTTATAAATGTAAATACATACGCGTATAAAATAGGTGATGTAAATGTGTTTATGTACACATAGATATATATACACACACACAAACATACGCGCATATATATTCCATCCAGAATGTAACCACTTCGGACCCTCCTGTATGTTATCTCCATTCTAACGTGACTCCAATAGCTATTTACCCACTTCCTCTCTTGGAGTCTTTATCTGTAGCCAGAGTAAGAGTCTTTAAAACAGAGGCTGGGTAGTATCTGTCTTTGGCTCACAACCAGCTGTAACTACCCATGTCAATCAGAATAAAATCCTCAGAGGAGACAGAGATCCCTGACGGCCTGTATAACACAGCGTCACCACACGGACCTGCCGTGTCTATGCGTTTATCCTGCGTCATTTGTCTTCACAGCTCTCCTCGCCAACTGACATACCCTTGGCTTGGTTCTCAGTTTATAACTGGCCTCTCTCCGACTAGAATGTGAGCTGTATGAGAGCAGAGGCTTTAGCTTTCGGCACCATGTCCCTGATATCTAGAACAGTGCCTGGCGTAGAGTAGGCAATGAATGAACGAATGAATGAACGAGACGATCACCAAAAAAATAGAGGAAATAGGGGCACCTGGGTGGCTCAGTCAGTGAAGCGTCTGCCTTCGGCTCAGGTCATGATCCCCGGGGCCTGGGATCGAGCCCCGTCAGCGGGCCCCCTGCTCGGCGGGGAGTCTGCTTCTCCCTCTGCCTCTGCCTCCCCACCCCCGGCTCATGCTCGCTCTTTCTCTCCCTCTCTCTCAGATCAACAAATAAAATATTTTTTAAAAAGTATATAGGAAATAGGCAGAATGTGCATGTTTAGGTTTCTTTTATAGGTTAAGAAACAAGAAAATGAAATTACTTGATTTAATTCAGGAGTACAGCTCAGGCCTGTTTCTCTCTCTCTCCCTGTCCTTTGCCCTCCCCCATATCCACACATCACACACACACACGCGATGTAATTACGTAACCCTGGTGGTTCAGAATTCAGTGAGGGTGACATCCAGGTAAAGATTCATTATCCTGGAATTCGGCATTTTTATTCCACAAATTCCACAACTTGTTTTGTGGATATTTGGCCCTTTTGAATACATGATAGTAAAAAAACCTATCATTTTTCTTGCCAAAAAGTGTATGTGTTTGGAACCTAGGGATGCTCCCCTCAGCATTCTGCATAAGAACATTTTTCATACAAAATAACACCATTTTGTTAGGCTCTACAATTCAAAACTTTTCAGGCCCTGATGATGAATTATTGTAGTAGGTGCGTATGTCCAGAAATTGAGATTGTTTCCATCAGAAGTCATTCCTCCCTGTCCTCAGAGTGAACCGTGGGGCTCCTGGAGCAGGCGAGGGTGTTTATGGTTAATTTCTGTGTTTGGATAGGGACTGACCAGTTTCCTTTTCACAGGGCCACCCAGTGGGGTCTGCCACTTGGCAGCTTGTCTAAAAACTGGTGAAATGTGTGCATGTTAGCAGGGGGAGGGGGAGGTCCAGTTTGGTTGTCAACCTGGTTGGCCCTTCAATTTGGGTTAAAAAAAAAAAAGAGAGAGCATTTCTGGCCCTTTCGGTTACCACATAGCTGATGACACAGTTTTGTTGCTTTGGTTTTTAACTGGAAAAATGAGAAACAGCGAGACGCCCCAAAGTCCACGGTATGTGCTCAACGGCCACTAAGAGTCTCCTTCCCCTCCTTCCTCTCAGAAAGCAGTGAGCATAACATCAAGCCATAACTGTAACAGCAGATTAAATAATAAAATGAACCCCAAGAGACACTGAGTATAACAAGGCCAGTGTCAGATCATTTGTTCATCAAGTAGTTCAATCTTTTAATAAGGCAGACAATGATGGTTAGAGGGAATGATGATGCCTTTACTTCTGAGTGAGTGCAAAATGGGCATTCCTGTCGGAGGAGAAAGCAATGCCAAATTTCACACTGAAGCTCAGAATTACAGCTCAGGAGGGGAGAGCATGGAGTAATGAGGATATATACTTGACTCCAGTACAGGAGTTCTGGTTTCCTTGGCCGCACGACTTGGAAGCTGTGTAACCCAGGGCCGGTTCATTAACCTCTCTGAATATCGGTTTCCTAGGGGTGTAAAATGAGGATGGTAAAAACACGTAATTTGCAGGGCTTTTGTGAGGATCCAAGGAGGTCTTAGTTCTAAAAATATTTTGTAGCCAAGAATACGCCATACGATAATGTATAGGATTATTAGTGTGCTTAAATAATTCATTGAATAACCTTCACACCTTCTCCCTAGCTCCTAAGGCCTCTTCCCTCAAGTTTAGCTGAAGTACTGCCCTCCCTGAGGTCTGCGTATCCCTCCTGTTGTAGATTCGGACAGTTTTCAATAATTACACGAAAAAGTTGTGTATGTTTCCTATCTGAACCAGCCTGCCTAAGCCTTCAGAATAGAACTGTGGCCTTCTCTGAAACCCACATCATTAATGCTGTGCATATATGAACAAGCAATTCCCTGACACCCTTGAGAGGAGGAAGATAGATGGAGATTGAAAAGGGGGGAAAATCTCCTCCTTCGCCCTCCCGGATGGAACAAATATTTTCTTCTCTGTAATAGAAAAAGTGGCTGTTTGGTTAACACGTATCCTATGCCAAGCACTGTGCTACACATTATTTGGTGTGATCCTCACAACATCCTGTACTATCATTGCTGCTTATAGGACAAGAAGACTATAGACTACTTTAGAATAAGTAACTTGACCAATGTCACATGGTGGAGTCAGAATTTGAACCCAAACCTGCCTAATTCCTTTCCCGGTCTCTCTCCGTTTGGGGATTGAGGATTTGCCTCCTATATTTTGACTGACTTTGTGTGTCTGTGTTTGCCTTTCTGTTCCTTTATGCTTTCATTTTTTGGTATTCGTGTAATGAGTAGGGTAGAGGCTTAGGACAGAGATGCCTAAGGTGTGGTCACCATGTTTAAGGAATTGTTGTAATCCACTGCAAGACAGATGACAGACAAAAAAACCTATATGACATAGAAGAATTGGACCTTCAGCTTGGTTAAAAACAATTGTGCCAAGGTCAGTAATCATGGCGAAAAGAAATTAGAGCTGACGTTGTTTTGCACTACCTTTCAAAATTCATCGTGAGTGAGACGGCGTTAAGGGGCACAGTTGGAACTGGTTTAGAGGACTTTTTTATATTTGATGCACTAAAAGGAAAGATGATATTTTCAAGTTTAATGCCCTTTATTTTTTCTTCCACAGTAATTAGCAAATGCCAAAGGCAGCAACTGGAGTCTGTGAGCTACTCCTCTCGCTACGCTCTGGGCCTCTTTTATGAAGCTGGCACGAAGATTGATGTCCCTTGGGCTGGGCAGTACATCACCAGTAATCCCTGCATACGCTTCATCTCCATTGATAATAAGAAACGCAATATAGGTCAGTACCCCCATTATTTCCCTTAAATACAGTAACAATGGTGGGTGTAGATCATGAAAAGTGCTGTTTAATTGAGTGTTGCCATTCTGAACAGAGCAAGCATTTAACTCCAAACCACAGGGGATAAAATTTAATGTCACATTTGGCCAATAATAAAATACACAGCGAAACCAGCAAAGTTTTTCAGAAAATCATTCACCACATGGTTTGTATTACTGAGTTCATGAAAATAGAAGTTTTAAGATTTCAAAATGGCTCAGGTTCTATTGCTTTACTATGGGTCCATCTGTATTGCAGAAGACTCTCTCCTCCTTTGTGGCTTGGTGGAGTTGTTTTCTGTTTGTTTGGCTTTGTTTCTAAAATTTGCTAAGTGCTACTCTTTCCACTTCCCAAGCTTGAAATAAAAAGCGAATTTTACTATGTTATGAAAATCCTTCACGTCAATATCATCTTATTTATTTGATTCTCCTCTGGAAGACTACATAAAATTACTTTGTGTACAATATGATGAAAATGGTAGGTAAATTGTTTCGTAAGAGCTTCACTAGAATGGGCTAACATCTACGCTCCACCCTTTTTGTTGAAGGTAGTTATTAAAATTAGGTTGGAATTGCAAGAATCAACATAACGCTCATCTCAGGAATAAAGGAGAAAGTGTCCTCTTCTTCGCAGGATTAGAACAATCCCTGAGATAACTGCTTTTTGAAGAATAAGCTCTAACGATCGGAAACAACTGACTTCTTGCAGGGAATTGTCATTTCAGTTCGTTAGGGTGTTTTATGTTGCAGTGATGGCTTCACCAAGCCATTAGTTAGAAGTCTTGCTTGATAAAATCACCAACTAATGTCTCTTGGCTTGGCAGAACTTTATGATGATAGAACTGGGCTGGAGTATGGTTTTTATATCAGAGTACTTAATCTTAGAAAAATGTTTCTTTTATAACTTAAAACTCCCTCAGGGCTAAACTATTTATGTTAACATGATACCACATATATGTACAATCAGCAGTTCATGAAATGCCCTGTAGCAACAATGGACTAACCATTTTTAACTCTACAACTTCTTTGTTCTGAGAGAAGAGTAGCCCTTGATCTTCTCATGTTACATGTCATGAATTGGACATTATCCTTTGTGTCCTGCTTCATAAGGTATGATATCTGTTAGGGTGTATTCAGTAATATGTAACAGAAAAACCAATTTAAAGTTGTTTAAAAAACATAAGGGTGTGAGTTATGTTTTATTATCATTTGTTATATTATCTGCTGTGGACTGAATTGTATCCCTCCTAAATTCATGTGTTGAAGCCCTGATCTCCAGTGTGATTGCATTTGGAGATAAGGCTTTTAGTCTATAATGGAGGTTAAGTGAGGTCATAAGGGTGGGATCCTAATCCAGGACGATTGGCGGCCTTACAAGATGAGGAAGAGAGAGTTCTCTCCCCTCGTGCACATACGAGGGGAAGGTCGAATGAGGATGGTGAGAAGGTGGGAAGGTAGGCTCTCTGCACGCCAGGAAGGGAGTCTTTAACAGAAACCCAATCGCCGGGCACCTTGATCTTGAGTTTCCCAGCCTCTGGAGCAAAGAGAAATACATTTCTGTTGTTTAAGCCCTGTGGTCTATGGCATTTTGTGATTCCGGTCCAAGCTGACTGACACATTATCGAAGAGGAAGAAGTTGGGGAGACATCAGGAAGGATCGATTCGAGACCTGAGCAATATCTTCAAGGACCTAGAATTATCCTTCTCTGCTCTGTTCACTCTTGAGGCATAGACCTTCTTTCTCGGAGGATTGGTGCAAGATGGCACTAACCATTGGAATCACGTCCAGACCCAACAATGTGCTCGGGAAGAAGAGGGACCGTTCTGCTTCTGCTTCTTTCTAAGAATCAAGGAATTCTTTCCGGAGCCCCCTCAACTGACATCATCTTGGATGTCATAGGTCAGAATTCGGTTACTCGACCAGTCTGAAAGTCATCGTTCACTGGCGGGGGGACGGGACTGCCACGATGAACTAGACAGATCAAGATTTACTCCTGGAATGGCTGGTAGGATCATCTTCCTTGAGTCAGATGAGGGGCAGATACCTGAATAAAATAGGGTTTTGTTTAGAGGAAAGAAGGGAGTAGCAGATGCTAGGTTGGCAATACGTAACGGCCATCGTGAATTTTCAAGTCGAGTCACATCGTAGACGGGAGGTAAATTTCTAAAGTTGACACATAGAGAGAAGAACCATGTAGATTCAGAATTATCTTTGAAAATCACTTAAGTCTACATGACATTTTGGAGAGAGAAATACCTTTCAGTAAATTCAGGATAGCCATTGTTCCAACATCCCATAGATTTCAGTTTCTTTGGGTAAGGCCCGATGAAATAGTTGGCTTGCATTTATAGGACAGAGTGATATTTTCTACTGTGAAAGGCGCACGGAAAGAAAGAAATAGCAGTCGTAGCTCCTAACAGATTAAATCGCTGTACGAACGGAGTGGGGCGGCGAGTGACAGCACCCAGAGTACAATGCAGTAGCAATTGATTAAAGAGGTACGCAACTTTGGAAGAGCGCAAGATAAACATATTAATAAATTCTCACATGATCGGCAGCATCTGGAGGAAGAGAAATTTAAAAAAAAATTTTTTTGTATTAACAACCACAGAGTTTTAAAGCGGGAAGGCTAGGTAGATTGGAAACCCCGGTTTGCTACAGCAGGGCCTCTTCAGACAGCAACGAAATGCTTGCCTTTCTTTGCCAGTTTTATGGAAAGTTAATCTTGGATTATGCAAGTTTTAAATTATGGGAGGCCTCCAGTAATGGCATCCTCTAACATAAAATCTAACTGCCTTGCATTTAAACTTTTTTTTTTTTCTCACTATCTGGGGCCAGCGTGCTATGTGTGTCTAGTCAAATTCATACAATACAAATGTCCACATAGAATAACTCTGCTGTATTTTATTGGCGTTGATACTTAGGTAGGCCAGTAAGAGTTGTCTCTTTATGTTGCTAACACTACCCCCGCACCCACCCTGTCCTTGGAGTGTCTGATTGAATCTAGAATTAATACTGTAAATACACACAGTCAAGTAAGGAAGGGGAGCGTTTTTGTGCTGTCGGGGTAAGGCAGCAGCAAGAAAAAAGTGGCAGGGTTGAGTCCACAAAATGCAGTCTGTTGTTAAGTCTTGAAGAGAGCCGGAGGATGAAGGATTCGTGGGCCAGACCAGACAAAGGTCAAGGAGTAGTCATTTGTCAGATGTCGGGAATAGGCAGTTCATGCAGAAAGCCACAGTGAGAGCCCAGATCTCCTTAGGCAGAGGGGCTAAATTCCAAGACATGTTAGACCCAGCTTCAGGTACCTATAGTTAGGGGTGGGAGCCACCGTACTTAGGTTTGTGTTTCCCAAAATGCGTTCTATGGAACATGAGTTCCTTGGTATGCTCTTTGGGAAGGGGCTCTGTGATCACATACATTTGCAAAATGCTACCAACTTTATCTCGAATTTAGAGAGTTTCAGGTCATATTGCTCTATTAGAAGGCACTCCTATTTTTAAAAAGCCACCTTCTCACTTCATGTAATCTAAAATTTCCCAAATGTATTTGACCAGGGGTATTTTATTTGAGTGCCATACCTACTAATATCCAACAGAAATGGTGCCCCTGAACACCCTTGGGAAACCCTGACTTGACATCACCGTTTGTGCCTCTGACCTGCAAGGGAATCGTAGGCCAGTGAAGGGGGATGGCAAAGGCTAATCTGGAAGCCGTCAATAGAAAAATACTGATTTTTTTTTTTTTTAAGAGATGGAAGAAACTTGAAGCTACCCCGGAACCCACCAAGAGTTGCCTCATTAGAACAAAAGGTAACTTCTGGGGCGCCTGGGTGGCTCAGGCAGTTAAGCAGCTGCCTTCGGCTCAGGTCATGATCCAAGGGTCCTGGGATGGAGCCCCGCATCGGGCTCCCTGCTCGGCGGGGAGTCTGCTTCTCCCTCTCCCACTCCCCCTGCTTGTGTTCCCTCTCGGCAGTCTCTCTCTCTCTGTCAAATAAATAAATAAAGTCTTTAAAAAAAAGAGAGAGATAACTTCTATCCCTCAAGAAATTCCAAGGGATTTAGGAGCTCTGTGTTAGGAACCAGGATCAAAGACCAACTATTTGAACAAAAGATGTTTTTCATGCTCTTATCACTTGGGAAATTACAAAGATTTTAGGAGCTCTGCGCCAGGAGCCAAGGGGAGGGACTAATATATATATATATATATATATATATATAGTATTATTTCACATCTCCCAAGAAGATCCCAAGAGATCCCTCTCAAGATCTTATATTTGGAATTAGCCTGGCCAGGAGTAACTTCTTAGAATCAACTCAGTTCTACCTCTTAATAGCTGTTTGATTTTGGATAAATTACTTAAACTATCTGTTTACTGATCAGTATGTTGAGGAAAACAATACCAACCCCAAAGATTTGGGGATGAAGTGGCTTTAACATATAAAAGGAGTTTCATATAGCACTTAGCAAGTAATAAGTCAGTATCTATAGCACCTATTATTACAACTAATAATGCCACTCTTGCATTTGGATATTTTATTTCCCAAAGCAAAGGGCATAAATATAAAAGCCTCCCTTTGGTGAATGCAGCCCTCTGATATCAGTGCAGACAGGAGGCTGGGTGGCCTTAATAAGTAAGATATATAAGTTACCCTGAAAATGGTTGGTCACAATTTTAGCATCCTTCCCTGTTCACCATCAGGAAGAGTATTAACGATAGTAAAATAGCCAAGAGGCAGCAATCTGAGGAGATTAGTATAATCTGCAATTCTAGAAATGTCGATGGCCAATGACTATAATTACACGGCTTTCGATAACTCATCAAAGGAATCCATTCAGTTCATCCCCAAAGAAAACAAACAAATGAACAAACTTTTTCATCACATGGAATTTACACCTGCCAGGACTTTACTGTTAGGGATCCTTGAGTAACAAACACTAGTCTAATGTGTATTGCCTTTAAC